GTTGTTCCAGTTTTTCATATTTATTAAACCTCTGACAAATATACTGAGCACAAAAACCAAGTTTTGTTGGTCTGAACAATGTCAGGAGACTTTTAAAAAGTTGAAATCCATACTTATGAGCTCACCAGTTCATACAGCTCCAAATTTCAGTGAATAATTTAAACTGTCTGTTCATAGAAGTAATGTTGTGGTTGGAGCAGTTTTGATTAAAGAATATAAACAATTTTGTAGATCATCCAGTATGCTATTTTGCTAAGAAATTAAATAAGCACCAAAGAAATTATTCTACAATTGAGAAGGAATATTTGTCTTTGATACTGGCATTACAACATTTTGAAGTTTACATTAGCTAAGCTCGTTCTCCGATTATGCATTTAGTGACAAAAATAAGAGATTTTTAATGTTTAGTTTGTTGTTCAGGAATATAATATTGACATCAGGCGCTTCAAGGGAAAAGATGATTATTTATCAGATGCACTTCCACGTGTATATGAATATTTTATTTCATGTATACTTTGTATAATTCATAAGAGTTTTTCTTATGTTATTTTTTTTATAAACTTCATGTATACTTAACTTAAGGTAAAAATAAAACTTTATGATATAAATCTTTCGCTTTAATTGGAGAAGTGGTATGTGCATCTAACTTAATTGTTCAAGAAATAGTAGTTGTCTAAGATTTTCATAATCTTATCAACTTTCTTGGCTAAGCACCACCTATCAAATAACTGCTTTTTTCTATTGCAAATTCGACATAAGTTTGTCTACCTTATTTTGTTAGTTCCTGAAGCTTTGCTGATAAGGGAGTAGCACTTTGTTGTGAAAGATTATAGTAAACTGCACTAGATTTACCAATAAGTCCACATCGTAATAGTAGAGTACAATGCTACCTTGGCTATTTCAGATTTTCAGCAATATTTTTCAAAATGAGGAAAATATTTGTCTGCTTCTTATTATCTAAGGAGGGCATATTAGTATCTTCAAAACAGGAATTTGTATGTAAAGTGGGTATTTGCTTTTCACTTGTCAGCTCTAATTCTCTTAATCTAAATTCAATTCCATTTCTTCCTTTTCGTTTTGCATTTCCAGTCGCATTTACATTTGCATCTGTGTCTTCTTCCTCCAACCGCATTTTCCTCTCTTTTTTCTTCTTATCTAATTGCATTTGCACTTGTTTTTTTTTTCTTTCTATAACTGCGTGTGTTCCTCTCTCCTCATTCTCCAATAGCATTTGTTTTTCTTCTTTCTGAAGTTCAAGCTTTCTTAACTCCAATTATATCTTGTATCTTAATTTTAAATATGTGTTTTATTTCTTGCTTCGTTAAAAAAAAACATTTGCCTCAGAAAGATCATATTTTCTGGCAAGCTGAAGTAATTAATCTTTGTCCAAGAATTCTCATTGTTCCTAGGTAGATTTAGAAAGAAAGATCACCACTTTTGATGACATTGTAAAGGAGCTTGATGGGGTTTAACAAATTCTGAAGGTTGTGTAATATGAATTTCAAAAACAAACTTTTCTTAATTAATTTATCAAAATTCGTATATCTTGAACGAGTCCTCTGTTTTTTGTTAAGAGTCTATTCTCTTGAAATATGTAACATAAATGATTAAAGACAACAAGCTTTGAAAAATTTAGCAAATAATTTATTTACACAGAATTACAGCGTCTATAAAAAGCAACAGTTATACGACCAAGACACAAAACAGATTCCAAAATGAGGATCAAATGTTTATTCTTCTGGAAAAATAGATGTTTGTAATAATTGATGCATGTCACGTAAATGAGAAAAATGAAAAAAAATAAAGTTTTTTTAACAGCAAAACTAACTGAGTTTGAAACGAGGTTACCAACTAGATATAGTGTTTGTATTTTTAGTTGTTTATGTCAGTGAAATTAAAAGTAAAAAGATATCAGTTAGATCAAACAGAAATGAACTCATTGTTACATTAAAATATCATATATTGAAATTAAAAAAATATAAAACTATCAAACAATTAAATTAAATTTACATAACAAGACAATAAATCATAATAGTGTTAAGAAACAAAAAAAAATATTAGCCAAAAATTGGATTGTTAGCGTCCAGATGGAGACGAAACATAAAGCTTTACAACCAGTTGCTTAAGTACTGTTTCTGTGGCTCCTGAAATTGGGACGGGGGAGCATTTATGAAGAGGATATTTAAACTAACATCACTTTTTACAACTTAGGTCTTCTACCAAGAATATGTAGCTACATTAGGTAGCTTTAATTTAAAGATTTACGTAAGTGTCCCACCCCCTCAGCAACTTTTTCTCTCTCCATTAGTATAATCGTGTTTTATGGGCTGAATAAGTATGAAACTATTGCTTTTGGATCGGTACTAAACCCTTTTGTGGTCAAAACGGAATATATTCTCTTAAATTTAATTTCTGTTTAAAGTTTTAATTTGTATTTATAAAATAGGAAATAGTTATATCACCTTTTCACTTTTTATGGATGGTAATTTTAGGTGTCTGCTTAGACACACTAGATATGGCGGTCCCCTGTGTTTCTCATTTCGCTTCTGTAGAACATTTTATCTTTGATGGAACCAATGACGTGCTTAATCAATATCATGAGTGCCAAAATATGGCCAAGCAGTGACCAAAATTTAACCGTGTTCTTGGTGACAAGCCGCCAAATCGACCATTGATCTGCCGAAGGAAAGATACTTAAGCGGCTAGCGTTTGGCAGGAATTCAGGTTCGTCGCCATCTGTATAAAGTACTGGTCCTTAACATTTTGCTGCTGAATACAATAATGCAATATAAAAGTTATACTTTAATGTTGTGCTTTTTGCCAAGCGGTAAACATTAGCTCAACAAGTGTACACCATATAGATACTGTTTTAGTGATTTAGCTGAAAACGAATAATATAATAAATTAAGGCGAGGAAAATCCGATGTGTAGAAGTTGGTCGCTGTAAATCAAAATAACTAAATCAAAATGATTGTCATAGAAAAGAAAAACTAAGATAAAGGACGAACCAAATTAAACCTTCTATCGAAAAAAGACATTACGAACTATGGAATTACATATTGTTTTTGTTGATATTTTTATCATAGCTGCGTTTGCTGAAATAAATATCAGCTGATACTAACATATTCTTCTCTCTCTCTATTCGTCCCAACACCCACCACCCCTATCACACGGCTCAGTCTTCAAAATGCAGACTTGCATCCTATCTGCTGCGATAAACCATCAATCATATCGATGTTGACTCCGCCCATAATGTGAATCAACTACTTACTTAACAGAATCATTTTTTGTGTCCTTGTTGCCATTATTGCTTTTGAAGTAGATTATCCTGGTCGGGACAAGGAATATTCGTTACAAGAAGTTTACAGTGATTGAGCTTCTTACTCTATAGACTTTTATAATTTTCGATTACTTCTATCTATCTATCTATCTATCTATCTATCTATCTATCTATCTATCTATCTATCTATCTATCTATCTATCTATCTATCTATCTATCTATCTATCTATCTATCTACCTACCTACCTACCTACCTACCTACCTACCTACCTATCTATCTATCTATCTATCTATCTATCTATCTATCTATCTATCTATCTATCTATCTATCTATCTATCTATCTATCTATCTATCTATTCTTCTCTTTTAAACGAACATGATTGCAGTTCTATGACCTCAGGAAACATTCTTGAAACATCACACTTAAAAAGCTACTCCCTGTTTAACAGTTACTTTCAAAATGTTGATAGGGCCTCAGGAGGAGTTTCTGTTGTTGTTAACAATAGAACCACTCATAACGTCATCCCTTTCAACACAAATTTGCAAGCCATTGTTGTAAGCGTCACTCTACATCGAGTGACTATCTTTTGTTCCATTTACATAACACCAAACACCAAGCTAGGACCAAACGAATTAGACAATCTTGTTCAACATTTTCCGCACCATTTGTTTTACTTGGGGATTTTAATGGCCATACCATTTTGTTGAGATCGTTTCGCATAAGCGACAGAGGCTACAAAGTAGAAGTCTTCATTTTTAGACACGGTGTGTCTATATAACACCAAATCTCCGACGTAATTACACCCAGGAATGGGTACATACACGTATATCGGTTTGACAATTTGTTCACCTTCGCTGCTTTTGGACTATGAGTGGAAGGTTGCTGACGACCTTCACAGCAGTCATCACTTTCCAATCTCCCATAACAATATTACTTCTACAATTGATGACGCATTTCCACAATAGAACACAAAAAAACCACAAAGAAGACCGACTGGATTAACTCTGAAACGCTCTGTCAAACAAGGCTGAATGAAGATAGTCTTTTCAACGTTAATGACCCTATTCAGCATTTTACTTCTATTTTAATTGAGACTGCAGAAGAATCTATTCACAAGGACTCATTGAACTGCTAAAGAACAAAAAAAAAATGTAAAGAAGGCATTAGACAACACAAGAAAATTTAACAATAGTCCGACGCCAGAAAATTTAAGTAAATACCGTATTTTCCTGGCTAATGCTTTGCACACCATCAAAGAAAGCAAACTAGCACCATGGAAGAAAGATGTTTCTTCTTTAAACACTCGTTCATTTCATTAGAAAGCACAGTTCTCTCCGAAATATGAAACTGAACAATAACAATTTCAGTTCAAAACGTGATATAGCAAATATTCTCGCTGCCAATTTCTAGAAAATTCCTCATCATCTAAGTATTCAGATACCTTCCGAAGATTAAAAAAAATCAAAAGGAATAGTTACATTTAAAATTTACATCCAATAACTCAGAAAATTATAGGCAACTGTTCTCACTATTGGAGCTTATGGAGACTTTGGACAAGGCCCATGATATAACCCCAAATGACGAAACACATTACCAGTGTTTGAAACAACGTCCATAATCATCATTATCTCTTTTAAAAATTTTTCAATGATCTGTGAACTACTGGTTATGTGCATAAGATCTGGAAAGAAATAACAGTAATACCAGTTCCCAAAACCGCTCCGGTGGCCTAGTGGTTAGAGCGTCCGCCTCGGATGCGGGAGGTCGTGGGTTTGATACCAAAGACTTAGAAAAATGGTACTAACAGCTGCCTCGCTTAACGCTCAGAATTAGGAGGTTAGTGTTAGGACTGGTCGGCCTGGTGTCAGAATAGTGTGACTGTGTGGGACATCATGCTACATGTCTGCGGCATAATGCCCCAGTGCTAGACATCAGTATAAACTGCCACACTGAAGACATCGTAGCGATATGACTGAACAATTGTTAAAGCTACATTAAAAAATATAAACACCACCAGTTCCCAAAGTAGGTAAAGATAGGGCAGATACTACTAACTATCGACCCATTGCACTGACGAGTTGTGTGTGCAAAACAATGAAACAAATGATCAATTCTTGGCTTTTATGGTACTTGGAAACTATCAATTTAAAACCTACTTTCCAAAGTGGCTTTCGTTATAGCCGTAGAAAAAAAAATGATCATCTGGTTAAACTAGAAACATTTTTAGTGACGCATTAATCAAGAAGGGACATTTAGAAACGGTTTTCTTTGATTTAGAAAAGCTTATGGCACACTGTGATATGCACGAGCAAGAGATGGGTGTAACCCAGGGCAATAATTTATCTCTCACGATTTTCAACATCAAAATCTATAGCATCACAGAATGTTTGGCTTCTGGTGTGGATTGCTCCCCATACGTTGATAATTTTGTAATATGTCATAGATCAAAGCACAGACATATAATTGAAGACATCTACAGCAAAATAGTAATATGATTCAAAATCGGGCCATAACAATATATGATAAATGGGAAACAGCAATATCCAACTGGCGTTATCGCCGCCAAGTTGGTCTAGCACTAACTTGCTATCAATAGTGTTTCCCCAGCCAGCCAGTGCGACAAAGGACAATCGTGGGCAGAAATTTTCTTTTGGCTGGTAGATTCACTTGTTCAGACAAAATCGCAGGGATCTACTCGCGCTCGGTTGAAACTAATCTGGACACAGTTGTCGTTTTATGTATGCTTTGCCAATGTATTTGTTTTCATTTTTGTACCACTAATAATCTGCTCAAAACAGATTATCATTAATTAAAGCCACCCATTGAGATTGTGGCAATATCGACGACAAAGGACAAGCTAGATGCTTTTCGGGATAATTATTAATATTAATAGCCAATTAAAACATGAACTTTTCCTTATCCAAAACGAGTAAGGAACTTGCTGCTAACCCCATTTTGATGTAATCGATTTACACGGTTCGGTTACATGGCCATAATTTTGCACTTTTGTCGTGTTTAGACTGAATTATATGTACTCTAACTAAATGCTATTCGATGGAAGGCTTTTGACCAATCATTTTATTCAAATCCAAAGACGTGCAAGAGTATCAGCAAACATTACAAACATTTTGAGGTTTTGGGGCTGGTAAATGACCCTTTTGAATAATTATATGTCAAGTGGAAGTATTGTTTGGCATTCCTGTTTTCCGTGAGCCATGTGACTTTGCGGAACAGTTCAGCAATTTCAAAACTTCATTGAAAAGTTATAAAAATGTGTCGGAATAAAGAGGGGACACAGCGGTCCTAGCCAGAGTCAACAATGCAAAAACCTTCCTTAAAGGATTTGACAAGCAACACCAAGATACCATTGCTTTTAAAATCATGGGATGTTGGTGTCAGTAAATAAGATAATTTTAAAGTACGTGCTTCCATACAAACATATGACTAGATTGAAAACAAGTAAAGGTTACCTTGTGAATTGTAAAGACCAAACTGGTGAACTTAACACATATAAAGTGGACATTAATTTATTACTGTCAAGTTGAAAGGCAATTACAGTAAAGGATCTAGTTAAGTTTATTGACAACGGAGGAATCAAAGTTAGCGGCGTATCGGTTTCGTTTATCAAAGATTATATTAATACAAGCAATATTACAACAAGACACTAGATAATTAATCAAATCGCTAGCGTATTCGCACCACCACGCGTAGCACGTTTTGGCTCGTAATTAAGACAGTAAAGAAGGATAAAGAAGTGTGACAACCTACTGGAAATAAAATCTTAAGACATGGCCGACTTGTTTCTCTTATTTAACGTGACTGATAGATCACATCATACAGTGTACAGATCATATTTGTTTTTCATAACTGAATGTACGGATACTTAGCTTTGTACCATTGTTAGACGAGAAGCCATACAATGATGCTCTAAATGTTTTCACTGTTGCAACATCAGCAGTATTAGTTGCGGAGTCGAAATTAGGGTCCACGCAATCAACGTATCTCTTGCTGGGTACTTAGCTGTCGTTTTAGTGTTTGTGTTTAAGACTAAATTTATAATTGTATATAAATAATGGAATCTACCCACAGTGATGTGGATGCAAAATCTACTGATGGGATGTTACATCAGCTGACATCTGAAGTTAGCATTGATAACAATGTTGCTTCACTTTTCGAGAAATATCTGCATCAAGCTGGTGTTACCAAACCTTCGTATGGATAGTCATGTAACTGTTTTAAGGTTGAAGTAGAAATTAACCTTTGGAACCAACTTATTTATACTACTACCAACTCGAAATAAGCTTGGAATCACCACACGTGCATGTTAAAATGTTCAAGCCTTGACTGAAGCTACAAATGCAAAATTAACCCAGGATTGTTTCTACAATGATGAAGTGACATTCCAAACGATTTATTCACCACAGTTGCAATTACGATCGAATAGTTTACATTTACAATGACTCGTCTGAGAAACGAATGGTCTCAACTGTTGTTCAACAAGTACGCCAGTTGTTCTGGTAACCTTCATTGGACAAGGACGATCATAAGATGCAAAGGTTCTGGCGTAATCAGCGTGTTTTTTAATGAAAAGGCTGCCAAACAGATCGAACAATCGCTGGAGATTGGAATATTCCCGGTGAAGAGGTCTTTTTTGCAATTGATGAAAATTGTACCAGTAAAAAAAGAGTAATTGGTTTGAAGTCCGTGTGCGTCTTATACCTGAGCGTGATGATTAAACCGGACAAGATCTGCCAGTCTTACAATTAAAATACGCTATTATATTATTAATAGGAGAACTACGATGGACCCTAAGTTTTCCTACTTGAATAACAATCAAATCGGAACAACAACTGCGTGATGAAAGAACTAAATGAATTGCGCTGACCGTAAATTAAAAACGCGCTTGTATGATAGTAGATGATATTTTCTGTCTTGCTGGGGATACGACTATTGGCATTGGTGTGACTTTAATCACGAAAATATCAGCCATTCTATGTGAACCAATCGGAATTATTGTCGGAGTTATATTAGCCGGTGTCACTGGTGGTGATAACAAATTATTTTCAATGCGACTGCATTCCCTAGTACCTTTTCATTCAGAATTGTATGCATCGGCACAGCGCAGTCTATATAGGAACACTAACCTGTATTTAGTTGCAATCGAGGATGCCATTGAGTATCAAACAGTACTGGCAAAAAATTTAAAATCATAGACATTTACGAGAACAAATAAGAAGCATACTGGATTTACAAAAAGTTTAAATTCTAGTAAGAACCAATATTCACACATAGGTTTGATTATCGTCAAAACTGTTTCTGCATTGCTGTGTCTATAGTATTGATCGCAACCATATTCATTTAGTAATGTATTGCTCATCTGAGGCTAAGAAAGAATATGTTATTTCTTTGCCATAATCTAAATAGAACAATATTTTTAAAGTATAAATAAATCACGGCCAATACAGAAGCAAGAAAGTAAATGATGGCGAAGCGAATGCAGCAAAGACAGATTCAATGAATGGAGAAAAAAAAACATTTATATCTACTAAGATATCAAACGTCCTGTTGCTTACATAACTATTTATTAATTGTGGGGACAAAATACTTACGATAGGATTAAAATAGCAATTTTAGACCTTTCAAATTAAATGTCTCTATTTACACAATGCTCAAGAGAGCTTTTCCTATTTATGCCAGGTGATGGATTCTAGCCAGAAATCTTTGACACATATACATATAAAATCCAATGGATATAAATCGAGTTTGACACATATACATATATAATCCAATGGATACAAATCGAGTTTGATACATATACTTATAACAACCAATGGATACAAATCGAGTTTGATACATATCCATATAACAACCAATGGATACCAATCGAGTTTGACACATACATATAAAAAGCAATGGATACATATAGGAATCAATGGATACAAATCGAGTTTGACACATATACATATATAATCCAATGGATACAAATCGAGTTTGATACATATACTTATAACAACCAATGGATACAAATCGAGTTTGATACATATCCATATAACAACCAATGGATACCAATCGAGTTTGACACATACATATAAAAAGCAATGGATACATATAGGAATCAATGGATACAAATCGAGTTTGACACATATACATATATAATCCAATGGATACAAATCGAGTTTGACACATATACATATAAAACCCAATGGATACAAATAAAAATGAACAGGTATACATATATAAACCAATGGATAAAAATCTATTTTGACACATATGCATATATAATCCAATGGATACCAATCGAGTTTGACACATATACATATAAAAACCAATGAATGTAAGTCGAGTTTGACACATATACGTATACAAACCAATGAATACAAATCGAGTTCGACACATATACGTATAAAATTGATGGATACAAATCGAATTTCACACATATACATATAAAAACCAATAGATACAAATCGAGTTTGACACACACACACACACACACACACACACACACACACACACACACATATATATATATATATATATATATATATATATATATATATATATATATATAATGGATACAAATCGAGTTGGACATATATACATCTAAATAAAACAATGGATACAAATCGTGTTCGACAGTTTATGTGCTTTTTCAGAATACGTATATGTTAAACAAAATGACACAAAGCAGGTGATATGTACGACATTTTCGAACACGTCTATGGTGACTGATAACCAGAACAAAAATTATAGTGTTGGACAAGAATTCAACAATGAGAAAATTTGGAAACTAAAGA